AGAGAGAGAGAGAGAGAGAGAGCGAAGCAAGAAAAGGAAGATAAGAGAGTGGAGGAAACAAAAAGAGTGACATTCCTTGATAGCAAATGTTTGTTTTCAGTTATCAATAAAACTGAACCCACACTACATCAAACCCAACATCACTCTTAGGTCATTTGTGAGCTTGGTGTCATGCCTGCCAAAATAGACATTGCACCTACAATAGAAACAAAGGATACAAACCTTAAATAAACTGACTGTTGAGTTTATCAATTACATAACTCAGTCTCTTATGGGGTATTTTGTCCTTCCCCCGCCCCCTTCTTCTCTTTCTTTAGGAAATTTTACCCTCCCTTGGCCTGGTGAATACTAAAAATACTCTCACTTCAGTTTTCACGGTGTTGTTCCTTCTTGGTAGAAATTGCCGCCCGTGGAAACGAAACTTGTGAACTTGTTCAATTCCTTGAACAGACGTTTATGAATGACACGTATCCTGCCAAGGGATGGCCCAAAAACATGAAAAATTCCATTGTTAATTCGTCTCTTTTTTTACTGTTAGTCACCACGAGTGATAGTCCAGTCATTACTGTATGCCGCTTTCGTCTTGCGGATAGGATTTCACCAGACGCGTAACACAATCTGATCACAAGCCTGATTCTCTGACGGCGACCTGGGACCCGTTTCTCGAAAGCCCCGGAAACGTTTCGGGCCCGCTAAGGCAGTTTTAGTTTATCTGTATGTATCGAAAAACAAAGAGGTGCATACGCCTGAAACTTCTTGTATGGAGGGAACCTCTGTTCATATTAAGAATATATGAATAAAACGGTTCTGTAATGATAAGGTTTGAGCTTTTGCTATGGCTTTCCGGGTGCAAAAACTTTTCGGGACCTTCGAGAAACGGGCCCCAGGACCGGCGAACAGCCAGATCGGTGCAATTTACTGGAAATACGCTCAAATAGGAGGACTCCTCTACTCCTTGTTTGCGAAACGATGCAAGACGGGCGTTACATCCACGTGCCTGAATGTTACACAACAAATATAGAAGGTAATGTGTGTACTTATTTAGTAAACCTGCGATTTTTGCGGTGGCAAAAGAGCTCTACAGACTAGAACGACAGAAAAACTATAGTTTCAACTTTTCAAAGGAAAAACAGAAATCTGTTTCTTTTGGGTCCCAGGCTCACGTCACCACTTAAACACCGAAAAGATCCTGGAAACTAGTTAGTTGTTTGTTACGAAAGAAGAGAAAGAAAAGATGGCAGACCTGACAATGGAGAGCTGGATAATTTTTGATGGTGATATTTCCCTTGAAGACTTTCTGGAAAGAAACCGACCTTCGGCTATCACGTTCGTCAATATGGGCGTTTTCGCAGGTGATCCTAAACAACGGCCAATTGTATTTGAATACCCGTTTTCGATTCCCGAAACTCAGAAACGGATGCTTCTTGAAAAGTGGGAAAAAGAGAGACGAAAACATGGGAGGATTACGGAAGAGTATGTTCGACATTTAGCAGAGGAATATTCCTACAAGTCGGGGAAGTGGTTAATCTATTGCCCAAGGTAAAAAACGAAGTGATATTTTTGTTCGTATACAACGGGAGGTCAAGGAGCTATTTCAGTTCCACACCTTTGTGTAAGGGTCTGGCTCCCGGGGTCTTTTGTTTTTGTTTTACATGCGAGAGTTTGGCTTCAGATATTCCTCGCCAGTTGCTTACATGGATTTTTTTGCTATTTCCACAAACATCTAGTTATTTGTGTCCTCCCAGTTATATTGGAGTTGTTACCTGTGCAAGTCATAACTTCAAGTTCCAACATGAGAAGGCTAATAAAGATGTTTATTTTTAATTCTTTTTTTCCTAGAACTATTAGATCTTGAAATAGCCTACCTAAAGACAGTCAAATGTAGTTTTTTGGAGTCATTTAAGACAAAGGGCCCTGTACATTTTAATAACTAATTCATCCTGATTGTTCATATAGATTTTGAGACTTTATTATTATTATTATTATCATTATTATTATTTTTCTTAAGTACTAAGTGTATGTATTCTATTTTTAAGAAAAGTTGGTGTATCATGTCTTGCGATTTTACTGACTTAATTAAATGTAGACGTAGATCTACATTATCTACTTATCTAGCTCTATTTTGGGGTAGAAAATACAAATCCACACAAAACAAAAAGGTTATGATTGCTGGTAACAGTTTCCATCACTAAATAAAATTAGAAAACAGTCCTAAGAAAATACGCATGCTGATTGGTTAAACATCGTGTTTCCATAACTCGATAGAAACACAGAGCTAGCACAAGCTGTTGATGTAATTGACAGCGGGAGCAAAGAGAATTTACATTTTGATAATCAAAGTTAACAAGTTGTTTTCCTTTTTTCCTGGTGAAAGTTTGGGAGAACTCGAAAAAGCTGTGGAAACCCTCGCCTGCGGCTCGTGTTCCCACAGCATTTCTCGTTCGCCCAAACTTCCACTCGTGTTTCTATAACTCGATAGAAACGCGGTACATGTTTTCTATTTCTTAAGTAATAAGAAGAGCAAAAGCAAAGTAAAAATGTGTAAATAAGAAAACTCTTAAGAAAGAACATTTCAGGAATGTCAAAACATGTGCTAATGGATCAAACATTGCAAAACATGCATGGTCATTCGACCATCGCATAGATTTTGATAATTCTAGTGTCATTGACAAAGGGTCTTTTTGCAGTGGAAAAACTTTGGAGGCTTGGCACACCTCTGCTACCAAGCATGCTGACAACAATTCTAAGCTGATTCCTAGACTACGAGTAGTCCCTCTTTCGCTTAGTCCGTTGTGCGTGATGTGAAAGAAAACTGCGAGAAAAAAATGACCGCACGAAATCCTGGAGGGGAGGATTTCGCGCAGCCATTTTTGTCTCGCGGTTTTCTTTCGCATCACGCATTACGGACTAAGCGAAAGAGGGACTACTCGTAATCTAGCTGATTCTAAACCAGTGTAGTATTCTTTTTAAACATTAGTCACCTAATTTACACATTTTTTGTTCTTATTATTTTTATCTCTCCTTTTCTTGCATATATTTTATCATTTTGCATTCCATTTTTTATCCGTCGAAGGCTGTAGATTGACAGCCAAAAGCTCATGTTCTTTTTTGAAAAATTTAGCCAGCAAACATTTTTATTGTAATCTTGATTAAAATTTAAATTAATATTTCCTCTTAGTTTATTTTTTACTGTTATGTACTAATTTATACCAATGTGTGTGAAAAATGTAAATTAAAGACAAAAAAGGTCCCTATGACACTGCACATCAAATGTGTTACCTGCTCTAAATGGTGTAACTTTCATTTCGAAGGTGTTGCAGAGTGTACACGGTATCTCTACACCATCTCTTTAACTAATTTAGAACGGCCTCACAAAAAAAAATGGAAAATGGATTGTTATTTGAAAATGACATTTCTTTTGCCTTACAGCTCTCAGATTGATGAAATTTGGACAACTGTAGCCAAAGCAGTGGTTGGTGGCACCCTTGGAAGTGCTGCCAATGTGTTTGCAAGTGACAACGAAACATATGTAATTTGTATCTACACAGAAGATTTCACAAACAAAGAGGAAGTATGGGCTGCAGAGAAGAGTCTCAGGAAATTAGGAGTAAAGTTTACATTACGCTATAAACCAAATATCTATACAACACTGGGAATTTATGCTGGTAATGAATGGCACTTGATTCCGACAATATATCGTTCACGAATCTGAGCTAAAACCTCAATTGTTGATCAGATGTAACAGTAACTACCGACAATTCAATGTCATTGGAGGAATATTGCTGATCAGATCTTAGTAAAACTACTTTATTAAAGTGATAATAATAATAAAAATAATAATAGTAATAATAATAATAAGTAATAGTACTTGGACTGAATAATCGTGCGAGGCCGATTTGAAATTATGAGCACAATTACTCCTTGAATTGTACATGAGGTCCAATTACTAATTAATCATATCTGTAACAAATTTCAGAATTAAAAATGTCAGAAGCAAAAACGTCTGTAACACTTTTCATAAGTTTTGAAAACTGTAGGAAACAGTGCAAAGAAAGCCATTAAAGCAGTGTAATTGACATACGAATCAAGTGGGTATCCAATTACAGATATCCAATTACAGAAAGTTCAAATTGGATACATTTAATTGGACCCACGCGATTGCATGCCAATTACGTGATGGATAGGCACATGGAGAACCAATCACAATAAAGAATTTTGTTATAGATACGATTATAATAATAATAATAATAATTAGTATTTCTATAGCGCAAATTAACATATATATATATGATTGAATGCGCTTTACAATAACATATACAAATCCTAAAAATAAAATTAAAGTCCACTTAGTAAAAATATTCAACCTATGTCCTAATAAAGGAGAGATTGCAAAATGTTAAAAATTACAGCTGCTACTTAATTAAAAAGAAACCTTATCTAATTATAAGAACTATTGAAAATCCTATCTAATTAAAAATCTTAATTAAAAGCTAAACTAAAAAGGTGAGTCTTCAGTGAAGTTTCAAATTTGTCAAAAGTGTTCTTGTTGCACATGTGATAGGGGAGACTGTTCCAAAGTTTGGGTGCTGCACACATATAAGCATATTGCCTAGTGTTTTCTGTGTTATAACATTTGGTGTTTGCAGCATGGGACCCTTATTACTAGATCTTAAGTTACATGGCCCATTTTTATATGCTGCAATCTAACATGCCCTTGTAAATATATAGGACCTTGTCCATTAACTACTTTAAAAGTGATAAGTTTGAACTGTATTCTAAACTGAACATGCAACCAGTGCAGTTTTCACAGAACTGGTGTGATATGACACATCCTTGGAATATTAAAAATAATTCTTGCCGCCAAATTGTGAAGGTGCTGGAGCTTTGTTAGTTCCCTGGCTGGTAAACCATATAAAATGTTATTATAATAATCTTTCCATCCAATTATTAAAGCATGTATTAATGTTTGTGTTGCTTTCCCATCTAACTACTTCCTAATATGTTGCAAATTCATGATCAGCACATTTGCAAGCATTTTTGCTTGTACTGTTGACATTGATTTTGAGATACCTAAATGTTTATTTTCATAAACCTGGACCCTGATACTACATAGACCCCAATGTCAGGTAACATCATCTTGGTGCTTCTAAGGTTAGAAATGATGTCACACTAACCTGGTAGGTTATTATGCCCGTNCCCCCCACGTGCCCCCTTGTGAAATACCGTTTTCCCTGGCCTACATTGTTCATTTTATAAGAACGAAAAATGTATAGGGATTATACAAGTAACCAGAGAGTAGAAAACAGATCATAACATCATTGTTGCATTTCTTAATTTTAATTAAACATATGGTATTTAAATGGTTCATGATAGGACATTGATCCATTGTTCAGGTTGTGAATTAGTTTCAACTAGCAAATTATGAAATGGTGCTTTACATTTAACTATACCATAGATTTTAATAGTTCTAAATACAAAATTCTGAAAAAATTAAAAGATGGGTGCAATCTACAATCTTTTGACAGAGAGGCATCAATTTCTAAATAAAGTGTTAATAAAATAGTAAAATCGAATGGTGTCAGGTTCAAGCCTGACTCATAAATAAACTAACATGGAAAAGTACATACTTGACGACAACTTAAACTTGTCTTGGAAATTTTTAAAAATTCCTATCTTAAAACTTCCAGTTTTAGTTGTTTTAGTTTAAATTATACAGTATACATTACACTTGTTGAAAAAAGCTAAAATTGGCATTTCTTCCTGAGCTGTGGTTTGCCTTCATGAAAGTCCAACACACACTGGAACACACCCATATTTGTTGTGGAAATGCATATACTAAAAGAAAGAAAACATAGATGAAAGGCAACAAGAAAAATTGTAAGAAACAACTGAGGGGCTATAGGATACTTTTTGGTTCCATCATTTTTCAACTTACTAAAAAAATGAAAATAGGCCCTTTCAGTATTATTGGTTCTAGACTAGAATTCCAGCAAGAGTTTCCAACTTGCAGACAACTCTGCTTGTTGTGGTCACCTAAAATTTCTGACACTCAGTGAGGGAAGGTTAGTGGAAATCTCATGTACAAGGCATAAAACGTCATTACAAAAAGATTACAGTGTCTGGTTTGATGTGACAACAACAAACCTGTCATCCCATGCGCAAAGATCTGTCAATGGACCGGCTCCAGCACAGTCAAGAGTGGTAATACATTCTGAAAATAAATAAAAGTCTTTTTGTATCCTTCTTGGATGCATTGCCCACTGAACTGATTCAAACTTCTATTCAAGTTTCTGGTTAAGCTTAGAAGAGAGACATATTCTTAGAATCTTCGGAGGAAGAGTGTTTGAACAATCAGAGGATGTGTTTTCAAATAAAGATGGAGATTTCTTGACAACATTGAAGAGGCAAACCTCACAAAGTACACGTTTAGAATTGGGTTAAACTAAAAGTTACCTGTTCCTTCTCTTTCCCAGATTTTCACTGTTGAATCGTGTGAAACTGTAGCAATTCTGACCAACAGATAGAACCAATAACAGCAGATTTTTAAAACCTTCAAATGTCATTTTCGAATACAATAATTACTGTAAGTAATGTAAAGAATGTTAAATGATAGAAATAGCATCAACTGAAAACTCTAGGAAAAAATCAAACGTCCAGATGGGATTTTTTTCAGAGTTTTCATTTGATGCTATTTCTATCAATCAATTATAACATCACCTTACTTGGTAAACATTTGTATGATTGATTGGTTTTGGATGACAGCATGCTAACATATCTCTCAACTTTTGCAACAGAAATTTTTTTAATTTCCCAAGAGTTTGCATTATGTTTATTTGAGAGTTTCTTGCTGTTTTGTTTGGTAAAACATGGCCCAACAATAATACCGGAGCTCCAGCAGCCCAAAGGGCTGCCAAGTGGTGCACCATAACTATAGGAACAGAACCACATGCATGCATAGAAATAGAAACCCATGCAACTCTGTTTTCATGGTCAACGTGGCTAGCAGCATGGATTGCAGGTGAATGCGCCCAATGGCAATGACGTCGTGCAACATGACAGCCATACTCCAGCTAATACCAAGTATTGGTTTACAGCATACATCTTTGATATTTGACATCCATGTTATGGTCAATTGACACCTGTAAAAACATGGTGTCTGCTGACCAGTATCACATGACCATATCACGGGCCAAGTACTTGTTACCGATTGGATCGTGGGCTCATGTCACGTTAATTTGTTGTAACCAGGGGGAAATTGGGTTAATGCTAACCCAGGATTAAAAGTTAACCGCAGTATAAATTTATCTTCTATACAAGTGTTTTTCATTGCTTTAGGGTCAGCACTCCTGGTGTAGTTTGAGATTATTCAAAATCAAAACAGAAGGCCAAAAATATAAACAAAACTTCACCTCAAAGTTACAAAACTCTAATCAAAATTCTTGCTTATCCTGGGTTAGCTTAATTGTGTTTTGAACAAAGAGGCCCAGGAGCTCCACTTTTAGGCTTGGCTAAATCTATATATTATTTAACTTTGAAAATAAACTGTTTTAATGTACTACTTACAGATCTTTAGTCCAACCGTGTTCCAAAGGAGGAAGAAAAATGCAAGCTGATGTAGTTTGGTAGTGGCCAATGTACCAACAGATCATTTGCTGTGCTCTCACATCCCAAAGCTGTCAATCAAACAGATATCAGTGGACATGAGATAATAATATTGCTCTTGATAGTTGATGGGAATGGATTCCAAAATCCACAATAATTTACATGTATTACATGTACAGGAACTGGTAAATGGATGCTTTATTCCCTTAAATGTACGGAGTATGGTGTTAAAGAGTGGATTTTTTTAAAATTCAAACATACTGGCCAAAAAGGACAGCATATACCGGTACATTTATCTCTGGTTTTAGTAGCACAAAATAACTACAGCTGTAGGTGTAGTTCTAGTTCTCCACAAGATGGGATGTTAGTCCCATTACATCATGAAATTTGCAGCTACCCATTTACACACCTGTGTGTGCATGTTGAAGAGAAGCAATGTTGGTTAAGTGTCCTACCCAAGAACACAATGCTATAACCTCAGCCAGGGCTCGAACTCAGACCACTTGAACTGGAGTCCAGCATGATAACCAATAGGCCACTGCACCTCCAACTTAGTTCAGAAAGTAGGACTTTCCCACATGTTACCTAAATTTTTATATGCAGTCAAACCTCCGCTAATGGACACTTCTGGAGGTGGACACCTGTAAATGGATACTTAGAAATGGACCCAGCCACATACAAACACTGCATTTTTAACTTCTGAAAAGCGGACACTTTTTCTGGTCCTGAGAGTGTCCACTTACAGGAGGTTCATTTGTAATATTTACGTACAGATAGGACACTGTACATGCTCTGAGGCTAACTCTAGTGTTTTATCAATGGCAGCATAAATAGATAGATAAATCGTTTATTAAACTCACAACTTGCAGCTATAAGCTGAATTACTTGTGTTATATAGTACATGTTTAAAAAATCCAAACTATAAAAATTCCTAACTATAAAACAGTGTTACTCACAGTGGCTTCACAACCCTTTCCATTGAATCCATTGCTACTTGTCAAAATAAATTGTCCATCTCTTGAGCAATCACAGTACGTCTTCAAAATAATTGCAATAGGCACAAATTATTAGGGGCGGCAAAATATACCTAGAACATTGAGGATTTTCAAACCTTTTGATCCGATCTCAAAATCTCAGATGCCTCTGCAGTGAGTCATCCAGTCTCATATTTGTGTTTCTTTCCATCTCGGAGTCTAAACTCATCCAGTTCCCAGTCTCAGAGTTTCAAACAAAGTTCACTATATCACAGTGAGTCTCCGATTCTACCCATGTTATACCGGTAGTTTTTTTTTTTGCCGGGGTCAGGTTATGCTGTGTAAGGTAATTGCTGTCAAATCCATACTTCTCTTATTTTTGAAACCTCCAAAATGCTGGTTTAAATCCATGGAATAAACAAAACAAAAAACAAGAAAACCAAAAAACTAGTATCAAAGTCCTGTAGTGCAGGGAAGGGACTACAGATACACAGCTCTCTTTGCATATTCAGTGCCTGCCTACAATGCCAGGAGATACTGACTAACATCAAGGTGTGCAAAGGGTGACAGTTACTTAAGTCCATATAATTAATGTTAAGCCATAAAGAAATGTGGATAAAGAGATAACATGAGAATGGATTACAAAATCCACAACTATGTGTACAGTAACTGACAAACAGACACTTTAATTATTCCCTTAAATGTATGGAGTATGGTGATAAAAAGTGGATTTGTTCTATTTATGAAAATTCCCTTCATGCAATTTAGATTGTGGCACATTAAAATCGATTGTCAGTGGTTACCTAAAGTTGTTTATTTCATGTTGCTTTGTTGGTGCACTGATTTGTAAAATCAAAACACTCTTGAGTTGAATTTAAAGTTCAGTTACATTTGCCAAAGCCACACCTATAGACATTGCATCAGACAATTTTGTCATGTATTAGGCAGCCACCAGCAGTTAACTTCTTCTTCTAAGAGATTATATACCTGAAAGTATTGCTGAGCAGGAAATGTAAATGCAGGTTGCATGTTCCTCGTATCCCACACTCTGGTGTAAAAGACAAAGACGTTTTCAGTTTCTACCAAGACATGTAGAGAAGTAAAAAAGATAGTTAAAGGTAAAGAATCCAATCCCACCAACACGTCGGCCAACACGTTGGCTGACGCATTGGTCAACAGTCGGCTGACAGTCGGCTGACAGTCGGCTCACTGTTGGCTGACTGTTACCAAGAAATAACTATAGTTACCTTTCTTTCTACTTTAACCCAAGCCAAAAACTGCAGCATCTTAAGAACAGTTTGAATGTATAAGTTATACATAAACTGAGATAAGCAGTAGAAATATAGGAAAACCCAACCTTGACAGAAAGAAAGTATAGTGCATTTTTAATTAACCTGATTTTCCCAAACTTTTTCTCAAATACTGTCACTATATACAGTGTACCTTAGCATTTTGTCTTCCCCAGTTTGAGCAACTTGAGTCTGAGTTCCAGGAATCCATTTCACACA